GCAGCTCAGCGCAGCTGAGGCGCCAGCAGAATCCTGATGACAAATTCTGTGGTTTGAATGCTTTGTCTCCTGCACACAGCTAGCTACCCACGGTTTTAATAATCTAAAAAACCGGATTCAGCTCCTAACTTTCTTCCCATGAGATTACAGTAAAGAACTTGGTATCATTTGAGCAGGACAATTAAACCTCTGATGAAATATTAGCCAGGCGATAGATATAGGATTACTTTCTGCAGAAACAAGCATCACCGTGCTACAGTGTAATGAAGCTGTTGCTTGCAGCCATTTCAGGATGTTGTCACAGCAAAAAATATTTTTGGACATGATTTTTAACTGTACACATTAATTTCTGGAGCTTCAAAATGCAATGAAATGTATTTTGAAATGCCTGCTATTCATTTGTGGATTTTTGAGCATGAGAAAAAATGGGAAGCATGCCTGATTGCTGCAGAGAGGCCTTGGAGGTGATTCATTGAAAACTACGAGGATGCCTGGCTGTTTTAGAAAGACTTTATTTGGCTTGGCTTCTCTAGTAAGTTTTGTGTCTTTTATCTTGATTGTTATTGCAATGGGGATCCCAAAGTGGATGACTGGAAAGATCCTTTGCAAAACAGGAGCTGATTTGGTCAATGCCACAGATCCAGAACTGGTCAAGTTCATTGGAGAAATTTACTACGGACTCTTTCGGGGCGGCAAAATACGCCAGTGTGGGTTGGGCGGGCGGCGTTCCAAATTCACAAGTAAGTACAATTTTGGTTGAACCTTTAGTCTAATGTCTCATTCAACTTTTAAAAGCACACTATTATTTTTGTTTACAGAACTTATAGAATGCAAATTATTAATATTAAATTTATATCTGTGGCTGACTTGTGATCTTTATTGTTTGGGATCTGAGTGTGAATGTAAAATCTCTGTCATTTCAGGCTAGCTTTTTTCTTTCAGTTATGTTCTGTAATCCTGGAATTGAGATGGGACAAAAACCCCCTAGGGCTAGATTGAGGGTTTCCTTTTAGTCTTGTGAAGGGAGTGAAATCTCTCTGTGCCTCTGTCCTTGCCTTTTCTGTTGAACTCCTCCTTTTTTTTTTCCTTTTTTTTTTTTCCTTTAAGAAGTAAAGATTTATTTAGCTGGCCACATTTATGTATTTCTCTAGCTGTCCTAATGCAGATGTCTGCCACAGCAGACACTCCTAACTTTATTATCATGCTGAAGAAATTTTTACTTTCTTTTCTGGTAACTGGAGAGAAAAAGTTGCTGAACTCTGAAAAGATGTAGAAACTGTTCTAAATGTATTCCTTTCAACTTAAGAGTTTTTCTTGAGGTCTCAAAAGCACTCAGATGTTGATTTGTACTTTGGATAAATTCCAGTTTTCACACATCCTGTGCTGCAATGAAAATTATATTTTGCATCGCAGATTTTAAGTTCAGCATGCAGATCCACTGCAACTTCAGCCAGTGTGAGTTGAAGCTGCCACAGTCATACCCTCTCCCTGGCCCACAGCAATGCTGTCCTGCCCCATGCTTTGCAACAGCTCTGTTGTGGTGAGGTAGTTCAGGAAGTTAAGCTGGCCAAAATATTAACCTACAAAAAGAAAAACCAAAACCAGTTTCCCATAGGATCATGGCTGACTACACAACTGCACAAGCAGCACTATAATAACTGGAAGGGTGGCAGGATGGTGGAACTTCAGAGGGAACGGAGAAGAGAACGAGAGCAACCACAATGCAGATCAGCATGACCGGTTAAGCTGTGCTGAATTTGTTCTAGTCGCTTTTACAGTAATCAACAATCATCTGGTCCAACTGCCTGACCACTTCAGGGCTGAGCAAGTGCTAAACATGTTACTAAGGGCATTGTCCAAACGCCTCTTAAACACTGACAGGCTTGGGGCACCAACCACTTCTCTAGGAAGCCTGTTCCAGTGCTTGACCACCCTCTTGCTAAATAAATGCTTCCTAAATCCAGTCTAAACCTCCCCTGGTGCAGCATTGATCCATTCCCACGTGTCCTGTCACTGGATCCCAGGGAGAAGAGATCAGCACCTCCCTCTCCACTTCCCCTCCTCAGGAAGCTGCAGAGAGCAATGAACTTGCCCTCAGCCTCCTTTTCTCCAAACTAGACAAACCCAGAGTCCTCAGCTGCTCCTCATAGCACATCCCTTCCAGCCATTTCGCAGCTTTGTTGCCCTTCTCTGGATGCATTTGGGTACCTGAACATCCTCCTTAAACTGTGGAGCCCAGAGCTGCACACAGTACTCCAGGTGAGGTGGGATGATCACCTCTCTTGACCCATTGGTTATACTGTGACTGATGCACCCCAGGATGCGGTTTGCCCTCTTGGCCACCGGGGCACGCTGCTGATGCGTATTCAGCCCGCTGTCAGCCAGCACCCCCAGATCCCTTTCTGCAGGGCTGCTCTCCAGCTACTCCTTCCCCAGTTTATACTTATGCCCAGTGTTACTCCATCCTAGGTGCAGAATCCAGCATTTTGACTTGTTAGATTTTGTCCTATTAATCACTGCCCAGTGCTCCAATCTATCTAGATCCCCCTGCAAGGCCTCTTGTCCCTCAAGAGAGTCAACAGCACCTCCCAGTCGGTATCATCAGCAAACTTACTAATGGTACATTCAACTCCGGCATCCAGATCATTGATAAGTATATCAAACAGAACTGGCAGTAGAATTGAGCCCTGAGGAACACCACTGGTGACCAGTCACCAGCCAGATGAAGCCCCATTCACTACAACCCTTCGAGTCCTGCGATTTAGCCAGTTAAGAAAGCACAGTAGTTTCTAGCTTCCCATTCTCATATATACTTCTGATTCTCATTTACTTCCCTCCTTTCTTCTTATTGCCAGAGTCTCTTCTGTAGCCCCCATGTACACCACACCCAGCATCAACCCCACAATGAGCTACTGAAAATGTAGAACTGTTGAATCATGAATTTTTGTATGGGATTTGTACTGTATGAAGTTTTCTACGTAATCTACTAGAATTCTGTCATGTCATGATTGACCAAATTGTAAACCTGATATTCACTCTGACATCTACCAATTATTGCTGCCTACTTTTTATGTGGCTTGTTAGGATTTTTTTTCAGTTATGCAGCATAGGAAGCAATATATTTATTTGTTTATAATATAATGTACCTTCTTTTTAGTAACTTCTTAGTAATTAGCCAGTTAGTTCTTCAAAACATGTACAAGTGTGCAGTGCTACGCTACCTGATCAGCTTGTATTTTAGGGTTCTTCTTGATCAGCTTCTCTCTTGCCTGTCAGTCAGCATGTCACCTACAATTTCCTACTCACATTTCTTCTGATTCTGTTGCTAAAGGGCTGCAGGATAAACTGAATACTCAGGTGCTTCACACTTCCCTGCTGCTGGCCAATTTGGCCCTCCAATGGAGTAACTCTGGCTGTGAAGACAAAACCAAGAAAGTTACCATTCTTTAAAGGCAGGCGAGTGACCGGCTGCTGAGGAAGAGCTCATGCCTATAGCAAAACATGTGAGCACTTCACCTAAAGCCCACCCAACTGCAAATACTTTACAAGCTTCCTAAAGATGTAACCAAAACGCTGCCAGACACCCAGAAGAGCATACAGCGGGCATAAACACTAGATGAGAAACCAAGAATGGAATCTGAAAGTGGAAACCTGTGGGATTAGGAAGTATGAAATCAGAGTAGATCTCTCTGGAGCCAGTATTAAAGAGAGGAAGAGAGAGAAAGAAGAGTAACATGACAAAATAAAGACAGAATGGAGAGAGACTATTTTAGGCAGCAAGGGGCTGGATGAGGAAACTGGGACTATAAGACTTCAAAAGGATGAGATTGAGAGCATGGGACAGGAATGGGCAGCTCAAAAAACATTCAGGATGGAGAGCAGAGAGAAAGAGACAGAAAGAATGCAGCAGACGATACAGCAGCAGAGAGAAAGCCATTAACACAACTAGAGAAATAAACCTGGACTTAAGCCTGAATCCTTATTCACAGAACCTGTGTGAAGGATTGTTCCTGTAGCAGAATACTCCTGGTTTGTCTAATGTAGTGACAAATAAAGCATCATAAACTAAGATGTGTGTAACTACCTAAACTGATCACCTCTGTAAAAAACAGTCTTAAGTATAATTTCAATTTGTAGCACCAGTACAGTGTGATGTTTACTGTTGTCAAGAAAAATTACACACTGAATAGATGATTTTTTTTCTTGCCAGTTTTCCCACACATGGTGAAAAAGCTGAATACAGGCCTGCATGTGATGATTGTGATGTTCCTCTGTGTGGCCATTTTCTTTTCTCTGGTCAGTTTTGGATTTTGCATTCTTAACGCAGTACAAGTTCCTTACCGCGCTATTAAAGGTCCAGCAGGAGTATGCCTGTGGAACTTCCTTGCAGGTAAAATAATTTACCAGTATTTTTCATTAGTCACATTCAGACAAAATGTTAAAGAGTTCCTCTCTTGCCTCAACGCCTCAACTCTCTCCTCAACTTAAATACTTGTGAATAGAATGAAGTTAGCATGAATCCTCATGTATCGAAACAGAACTGTCAGGTAACATCTCTGCTCGTTGTGTCTAGTCAACTTTTTACAGGAGCTGTGAATGCCAGTCTTTAGGCTCCATATCACTGATAAAAGGACTTTAGTCAAATGCGGGTGTGATGTTTGGCCGTACAACAAAGACTAAGCATTTTTAAGGTCTTTCAGCCATGCCTAAGTCTATCCCTACTCTGTATAATGCTCGGTGTTGTATTCAATAAGCCTTTCTGAAGCACAAGAAAAACGTCTGTCTTGTTTTGACAACAACAGTGAATACTACTTTCATTTTGTTGCAGGTGGATTTATAGTACTTGCAGTCACCAGCTTTATGGCTGCTGTGAAACTTCATCACCTCACAGAAAGAATTGCCAATTTCCGGGAAAATGTCTTTCAGTTTGTTATCTTAGAAGAACGGTTTGAAGACTGTTTTTGGCTTTGTGTGGCAAGTGCAACAGCACATGCAGTAAATTTGCTGCTAATACCCATTAGTGGGATTAATTTCCCTAAAATTAAGACTAAAACAGAAGAAGCAAATGTTACAGCAGAAGATATCATGTACTAATAATTCTACACAAAACTACTTTGGTCAAGTGAACTGTCATGATAGAAACAGCTTCTTGGCTCCTCAGCTTTTGATCTGGATGGACAATTTTGGTATAAACATGAGTAAAGATGTCAGTTGTGAAAATTGTCAGTATTTTTTAAGGTCAGTCTACAATACTAGCAATTAACATGTGGGAAAGTGGGAAAAACAAATGCTACAAATATAATTATTCTCAAAACTGACCAATATCTGCAGTGAATTTATGCTGTTCGCAGTTTTTAGAAAATCAGCATTTTGAGATATTTTAGAAAACTAAGGTGAAATATTATTTCAGCTAAACCAAGTGTCTTTTTTATTTAGAAATCACAAATCTTTGATAATGTAGAGTTATTTCAAAACAGAAAGAATGGACATTTGTCAGTTACCTCCACAGAATTATCTGGAAAATGTTGCGAGGGCCATATAAGGTATGTTTGGTGATGTTATACTGCATTGAAGGGGAAGGCTTCATCATCTGTGAGGCTAAAGGGAAGCACAGGCTAAATACGTGCGAAATGTTTTTTAAAACAGAAATTATCAAATCCCACGAAGTAAAGAATTGAGAAAAGTAAAATTTATGGGATGCTAGTAGACTATGAAAAAAAAAATTGTTAGTTGCAGGATGAAGTTTTCACTGCAGCTTCTAGAAGTAAACAGAATCTAAGTAATAGTGCTTTTAGATAACCTGGAAAATAATAATCTGATAGTTTAATGGTCTCCAGAACCCTGTCAATTCTTGTTTCTATCTGAAATCAAGTAAAAGTGATGTATGATGAAACAGTATTAAAATGAATAAAAACGGTTAAATGTATGGAAAAGTTACTTTGTTAGGAACTACCATAATTTTGACAGGCATTCAATCAGCTTTTGGGTCATGAGTGATGAATATTTCAGAGAAAATCATATGCCATTAAACAAGTAATTTTTTAGAATTTGACTACTGTAGTGAACACATACTAACCTATTAGCAATAGAAACTACATATAACTGAAGAATGTCTTTGAACAAAACTTTGAAAGAACTTATAATCTAAATTAAAGAAATTATTTTGCAGTCAGTTACTCTTCATCAGAGCACTAGGTTGTGTAACACTATTCTTGTGAAAAGCTCTGAAAAAATAGTTACTCTTTTAGAAAAGGAATTCACAGTGTTTTAAGTACACGTCAAGATATACAAAAATCCTTATTTTTTGTTTGGAAAGACTTCTTTACAAAAATAGTATTGTAAGGGTCAAATATTTTAAGAAGTGTCTGAAAGTGTTCAGCATGTTTGCTGATTAGGCTACTTATATCGATATTTAAATAAGGACTGACAACTTGGCTTAAGCCTATGAGTTTAATATCTTTGGCTCAAATACTTATTTTCCATGCTCTTTTTATTTTGTTTTCATCTAAAGACCAATGGAAACTGATGTTTTATGCAGTAAATTCTACTTTAATTTGGTATTCTTACCAGTTTTGCAGTTGTAAAACTCTATTCAGAGTACTCTTAGTTTACACAGCAGACTCAATCACTATGTTGACTAAATGCTTCACCAGTGTATGTGCAAGCTGTGTGTCAGGTAGGAAATGAAAATGATTTATGTCCTTTTCAGCACATATGCAGGAAGACCAGCAGACATTTGGCAGTCCATGGCCTAGTTTCATAAGAGATGTTGTTAAGCCAATGACAACCTACAGATGCAATGAGTGGTGTCTTACTGCAGCCTGTATCATCTCTGGTTTTAGCCCTACAAGTTTATCAGGATTACGAGTGAAGCAAAAGTTTTGAGGATGCTTCTGCAATAGGCCCTAATAATCTGTCTTCTTCAAGATAGTGTTAGTCACTTTTTTTTAAAGAATGCTCAATTTTTTTTGAAGTCCTATAAAAATTTAAGAGACATTTGAAAGTTTTGATGAGCATAAAGCCCTGTTACAATTTTAGTGTAAGGGAGACTCAGTAAGGCAGGAAAAAGTGATTCCTAATTTATACCACCCACTTACTTCACTGTTCTTATTTTACTCCTGCTTTCACTCGGTTTTTATCCTGGACCATGACTCCGGGAAGGTGGTACAATACCCAGTACATGGATAGGCAGCAAACCAACCCAGTCTGTGAAGGTGCCTGAGATGGTAACAGCAATGGAGGCCTCTGTGGTACCATGACCTTCATCTCAACTCTGAGTGGCTCTGCAATAGAAGACCTTAAACTGCAGTATAATTACACAAACAGAAAATTAAATTTGTAATTGTTCTATGAACAGGTAGTTTAGAAGTAGTTGTTGTACAGAAAGAATTATATTGTCAGCCATAATGTTTCCTTTGCTAAATATAATTCCCTTTAGGAGGTGAAAAGGAAGCAGATTTTAAAATCTTCCACATAGAAATGATTGCTTTGGAAATGCTTTGCAATTGTACTAGTATGCATGTATTACAACACATTTTTCATACTTCTAATGAACTACTTAATGCCCCCCAAACTTCCTCCAAAAACTCGTTCTTGAGTAAGAGGTAAAGACAAGATTAAAGATTTGTGGACTGGATTCCCAGATAGGTCCCAGTAGCTCTGAAAGCACCACTAGAGTACACTGTCTAAATAAAGCTAAAGAGGGATAGCCGGGCAGATCAGCTTTTTAGTTTCTTGTTTTGAATCTGTTCAACAATGAACACTGAAGCATACTGAGCAGTAACAGTCTAAAAGAAGATTTCTTGCAGCAGATGTATGAAACATTTCTGAGTATTATTGTGGCTGCATGAGTTGAATGACCAAATAACATTATCACCTAATGACTGTTTTGTGACTTGTGAGAGAATAGTCTTTACAGTTCACTTTAGAGTGAACAGAAGTATTACCATGCATGAATTAAACTGAACGGATATAAGACCAAACCAACCTTTCAGCTGCACAGGTTGTCTCAGTTTAAGCACTGCTAAGACACATTGATGGGACAATACATAGAATATTTGCCCTGGGAAATTCTGTCTGCAGAAAAAAGGTTAAATACAATCACACATAGTTAGGATGTACAAAGGTGTTACAAAGCACACCTTAAGGTTAACAATGGGTAAGTCTATCAGTCAGACCTTTTCATCTTACCCTTGTACATTTTAAAATACTTTCAAAAAATGTGGATCTACTTTATTTACACACTTTAGTTATACTTCACATAGTGTATCTGATCACATGCATGCTCAACATGAGGAAATGAAGACTTATTTGGGGGTACTTTTTACTTTGGAAGATTTGAAATCCCAAATGAGAACATTTATGAAGAATATCCACCCAGAACTTTAAAGGGATTATGGGTCAAATCCTATTTTTCCATAAAATTAATGACAACTTCATATACCCTGAAAACACCCACTTAATTTGTACATGCAGAATATATAGAAGCTCCTTGCAGGATGTAGAGAAGCTATGGAACCATTCTTCAAAGAACTACAAAACTATTAATTGTGTCCAAGAGCTTCTCCAAAATAAATTAAGCTAGCAACTAATTACCACCTTGATTCTTTAAATGTTATGATTTAATATTAAAAAATGCAGTGTTACAAGATAAATCAAAATTGATGCAATTCCCCTCAGCTATTGTCTATGAGTGCCCCTGTTCTTAATAAGAACATGTTATTTCTCTCTGTGCCAGTGAACGGAAAAGGCAGTTAGGTGGCAACTGCAATATGCTGTTAGAGAACAGGCCCAGCTGCCGGTCTTCATCATGTTCTGCTGATGTAACAGTGTAAGTTCAGTTACAGATGTATGGAAAAGGAAACTAATTGTTATACATAGTGTTGTGTCAGATTCTCACATATAAAAGGAAATTACTTATAATCTATGTTTCACATTTCTGGAAAGAAAACAACCAAACAAACCACCAAACCAAAACCCCACAACATTCTGGATCACTTGACATTAAAATCCAGTGCATGTTCAGTGCCACTGAAACTCTGTCTCTTCATACAGACAATACAATAAATGTCAACAAACTCCAAACAGTTCTTCCCCATACAGTATTTTTGCTAGAGAAGCATACAGCTGCTGCTGACATTATAGTGATGACCCAGTATTCTGGTGTGAATTTTCCTGATAAAATATAACCACAGTCATCCTCATTGGCCTTTTTACTTTCACTTACTAAATGTCATTTATCTATCTATCTATCTATCTATCTATTTATTTATTTCACTCTGGGATTGTTACTGCTTTTGTTCTCCCAAACCTGGAGCTCGTTATCCAGTGCGCAAGAAATCAATCAGCACACAGAGTTGAGATGTCATATTCATTTCCTCTTTTGTGCTAGGCGCTCGCTCCACAAAGCTAGCACACACGGCTACAGTCACATTGTGTATTTATACAGTTCAAAACGTTAGTTCTGTCTTCTTTGCCACATCCCTTAACTATAATTAGTTACTTCTTATCTCAACTGCAGTCGGTTAGTCCTTTTCTCGCTTCAATTTAAAGACACAGTATTCCTTCAATTTACTACACATGCTCGGTGAATGAGGGTCTTCATTTGGGGAGGGTTGTCCAGACACTTGGAAGTGTGATTTTCACATTGTAATAAGATAATTAATTCTAAGGACAGTTTAATCTAACGGTCTTAGGACCTGTGATAAACTTAACAAAGCACACATGCTCCAGGATGTGCTGCACTTCACAGACAGCAGTTCCTGATTAGAAGTTCTTCATTAAAAATCACTCCTACTGTCTTGAAAGACAACTGATTTGGCACACTGTTCACATACTTCCTGGGCTAACAAAATACCATCTTCAAGCTACATGACTACACTCTCTTTTAGAAACCTAATCAACTCTTCCTAGACAGGCATGCTGGTATTGTACAAGTGAACCACCATCCTACATGGAAAACAATGTAAATTTGTTGTCTTTGCATTAGCAATAAAGCTGTGACTATTTTTTCATAAACTATTTACATTTTAATCTCCAATATGCAAATTAAATACACCGTATGCACACCAGTTCAAGGTTCACGGCAGCGATAA